CTATGGTGCAAGGCAATAGTGTTATAGGTAAGCAGTGTGTACAGAGGGCTATGAAGCTGTATTCCTTCGCACGCAACGCAGTCCCATCGTACTAGGAAATCGTGTTGTAGGTATGTAAAGTGTGCAAAGGACTGAAGTCTTTTGCACACATTGCGGGCCTATGGAACTTGAACGCAGAGCATGAGAGTTTTCAGTAATGGCTCTTTGATGGAATTGCGTGCTGTGGTTGGCTAATTCTAGGGCATTATTCTCCCATAATAACCACGGGCCAATTACGGGCCTGCAAAAGCAAAACGAAAAGCCATATAATAAACAACTAATTAACCTCAAATGTTTGATCTGAACAGGAAAATCTCAAACCTCGGCCTTGCCATATTGACTGATCGATCGGTTTGAGATTTCCCTGTAAAGACCTCACTCTTGGTTAATAAGTAGTTAAAATTGCTGACATAGCTCTCTTGATGATATCATGTAAAATGCTTATTATGGGTGATTGCAGCAGAGTCTGAAACAAGAACAGAGGTATTGTTGAAAGATCAACAATGATTGTCATAAATTATTTTCTGCATTACCATCTATTGCAGAAAACAAGTTGCATGCTATTTGCTCGGAGCTTCCTTCGTGGGAATACATTAGCTACAAAGCTTCTTGCTTCTACTATGGATTTTGTGTTAAGAGGTACCCAGAAAGTGCTGTTTCTTAAACACGAGGTATGTGTAAAAAGATTGTCCTTACCTTTAGCATGCAAAAGAGAGGGTTAGTGGAACTGAATGCAAATTGTGATACAGGAGCATGAAACATGAACGTATTCTCTGTATCTTCAGTTGATCAGGGTTGTTCATAAAAATTTTTTTTAAAGTAGGCGGCTTCAGTGTTGGAGCAGGTGGCTGTTTGTCATCTTTTTGGAAGAACTACAGGAATAGTCCAGCAGAGAACTGGCCAAGATCATGAAGTAAACAGTTATCTTTGTCAGCTGTCAGCTTCTTTTGACAACCGTGGTTGATGATACCATTTACACTGAGTTACTAGCTTGGAATAAAGGAGTCTCTTAAGATATATGGTAAATTTGACCCAGGAAAACAGCCTTTAATCTCTACTGAAGTCAAGTGTTTCGTAAATTGAAGAGAACTGTTCTTCAATAGAACAAAACTAAGAAAAATTTTAGCTGTTGTAAGTTGAAAACTGGCTGGGCAAGGATCTACCCAAATGCAACAACTGACACATTTTAGAACAGCTGAAAACTTATTGCTGCATTGTAAGTAAATTTGTTGCCCTTTTTATTTCTTGCAGGGTTATCTTGGCGCATGTGGTGCTTTACTTAAATTAATGAAGAGCATGGAGGCAGACAAAGATCTTGTAAACTGTGGCTCAATAAATAGGTCATAAACCCCTTTGTTATAGACACACATTCCCTTTAGTTACTAGTGCCCTCAAAGAACATTGCTTCAAACACAAATAGCAAGTAAATGAGTCTACATGTAAAGCAGACATCAAAGCGTTTAATCAGATAGGCAGTGTTAGGGATTTTTTCTCTTAATGTTTATTCACGTGTGCAGTGTGCAGTGTGATGCTTGCTTTTTTTTCCTTACAGTTTTTTGTTCTTTCGTAAATTCAGATTGTATTAGGTCAAGTCAATACAGCAAACCAAGAAAATGCTATTTTACAATTATAACACAATCATTTTTATGTAACATGTACATTATTCATTAGACTTTAGTAATAACATTCAAAAACACATTCAGCTGTACATATTACAAATAAGTCAACTGTAAGTTACATGTACAGGTTTCCTTGCATTATACTTAACATGTAAAACATAAATACATTGTCTAGTTTTGTTATTAAAGTTCATCTTTTTTATTCACAAAGGTGCTCTTGTTTAAAACACTCTGAACTTGCTAAACTCTAATAGATTGAATTTACATATTTTTAAATATTAGTTGTGAATAAAAACTGTAAACATGTCACAAATACTAAACATTCTCACACTTACGAATCCAATTCATCATAGATACAAAACTCCCGACAATATTAAGAATCCTGCACCCCCCCCCCCCCCA